GTTTTTTTGAGTAATGTCAATGAGCAAATAGTAAAATAACATATATATTACAAGTGATCTATTGGGCACTGTGGTTCCTCACGTCGGCCTCTACATCACTACAGTGTCCTTGATTGAAGTAGAGCTGAGTCACACCTTGGCAATCTTGAAGAGCTCTGGGCACCTCTGCTACCCATCATTTCCTGGATGTTGGATAAGTTGTCCCCCGCTAGGCACTGTGGTTCCTCACGTCGGCCCCTACATCACTAAAGGGCCCTTGATTGAAGTAGGCGTCACCCTGAGCCCTTCAAGAGAGCAAAGGTTTGACTCCCTGCCCTTATGAAATGTAAGTACAAAGACCCCTTTTTTTCAGGATGTTTTCTTTGGGGGGGGTATTTACTTTTTTTTTTCTCCTTACCCCCTGCCTCCATTTTTGCCTAGGCAAGAATGACATGAACCCTGCTACTGGAGCCATATCCCAGGAGGTTTCAGCTTCTACTGAAGGAGGAAGGACCTGGCACGCATCATCAGGAGGCCCGGATGCAAGAACCAGAAGAGACATCCGGCTCCTGATGACCTAAGTAAGGAAGATGGTGGCGCAGGACTCGGCGTGTGGCAGCAGAGGGGTGGATTACAACAGGACAACGCTGGATTCGCTGGGTGGGTGGATGGGTGGGTGAGTATGTTGATTGAGGATACAAGATAAGGACAGACTAAAGAGAAATAACAGGGGTACTCGGGGGCGTGTAGTCCTCCTTTAAGTCACAATTTGCCACCTACATGGGGCACCTCATACACATACTACTACAGTAATCTCTTTCGTTTTAAAGGACTTTCCTCACCATTAACCACTCCTATTTCCATGTTGTATTTCCTCCAGATGGACAGTATAGTATGTACGGTACAGAGAGACTTCCCCCAATACTTCCTGTTGAAGGAGGAAGTGATGACATCATATGTGATTCTTTAGGCGGTATCCCCAGTATCCCAGATCCATGTCTATCTTCTGATCCGTCTACACATGGGGCCCATTATCCAGATCGTCCCACCCCGACTGTCCATCGCCAACGGGATGAACTCCTTAACAAGACCTCAGAAGCTGGCAAGCACCAGAGAAGCCGGAGTTTAGATAAGAAATATCACTGTCCTGATTGTGGGAAAGGCTTCACGGAACGGTCAAACCTTTCCAAGCACAAAAAGACGCACACAGCGGAGAAGCCGTTTTCCTGTTCGGAGTGCGGGAAGGCCTTTATCCAGAGAGCCCACCTCATTACACACCAGAGCACCCACACAGGGGAAAAGCCCTATTCCTGTTCTGAATGTGGAAAATGTTTTTCCCGGAAGTTCACTCTCATTAGGCACGAACGAGTCCACACGGGTGACAAACCGTTCTCGTGCGAAGAGTGTGGGAAGTCGTTTATCGAAAAATCGCACCTCGCTTACCACGAGAAGTCTCACACAGCCGAGAAGCCATTTTCCTGCCTCGTGTGTGGGAAAGGCTTCATCCTAAGAGCCCACCTTAGGTCGCACGAAAGGACTCACACCGGCGAGAAACCATGTACCTGCTCAGAGTGCGGGAAGGGCTTCAGGCAGAAGTCGGAACTGGCTAGGCACCGGAGGATCCACACGGCCGAGAAGCCATTCTCGTGCGCAGAGTGCGGCAAGTGTTACGCTTGGAGGGACTTGCTTATCAAACACCAGAAGAGTCACACGGGGGAAAAGCCCTATGCCTGCGCCGAGTGCGGGAAATTCTTTGCGGAAAAGAAGCTCCTTTCCATACACGAGAGGGTCCATACAGGGATCAAGCCGTATCCTTGCTCTGAATGCGGCGAACGTTTCACGCAGAGAGGCCACCTCCTCTCGCACCAGAAGACTCACACAGACGAAAAGCCTTTTTTCTGCTCGGAATGCGGGAAAGGTTTTTCTCAGAAGCCCTATCTCATTGTGCACCAGAGGACGCACACGGATGAGAAGCCGTACGTGTGTTCAGAGTGCGGGAGAGATTTTTCCCGGAGGGGCAGCCTCATCTCACACCAGATGGCTCACACCGGGGAGAGGCCATACTTGTGTTCTGAGTGCGGAAAACGCTTTTCAAAAAAGTCCTCGCTGATGTCGCACCTCAGCTTTCACCGAGAACGACAGATTCCGCCGCCTGGGAGTGTCAGCTGAATGCAGGACGACTACTATAAAATTCCATGCTGTGACTCCTCCATGGTCTTTGCTGGCATGTGGCGGATCACACCAATAACTTTTGGGGTGCCACAATTTTAATGTGAACCCCGAAAGAGTAGGGATCAATCATTGTGATTTTGTATAGGACTTACCTTCTCCTAGAAAAGACATTGTACACGTATGTCATGAACCATGATAAGCATCCAGTGTGGAAATACTACTGTAGACGTGGACATGCAGCTGCTGCCGTACGGCAATTTGACTATTTATATTCGGTGTTCTTGTAAATTCCAAATAAACATTCAAGAGAACAAAATGCAGATACAAAATAATTGCAGTTGGCTGCCCCATATTGTGGTATAGAGAAGTGACATTAGATCACATGACAGCTGAAGGAGGAGTCTGAGAAGGAATCAAAGAGTTCAGACTTCTATGGTATAAGCCCTGCCCTTGGGAGGATAGAACAAAAAGGGGATTACTCCCCCTCCCCCCACACCCCCGAGGGTTATACCTTCTGTTTTTAATATTACATGTAGTCTTCTATTCAGCTGGTAGACAGAGGTCTAGCCTGCCTTTCAGGCCTGAAGCATTGTATCAGACTAAGCTGTGCTGACAGAAGCCCATTTACTGATTGAGGGCCCGGTCACACCATCAAGAGCGCGTTCCAGTGCGTTCAGCCTCTGGAACGCAACCAGGCCGGCTGCACACACTATTTTTTTTGCAGATCGCACTGGACCGGACCGCAGGCACTGATGCGCCACGCGTTCGGGTGCCGGTGATCACACCGCGGGCGTGGCTGCGGTGCCATTGAGTTCAATGCGCCGCCCCCAAACAAAGTGAGCTGGCCGGGTTGCGTTCCAGAGGCCGAACGCACTGGAACGCACTCCTGATGGTGTGAAGGCGCCCCGAGTCATCACAGCAGTGACTTCTGCCAGGCAGCTCAGCGCAAAGTTTCAATCAGACAAAGTGAGCTGCAAAGCAAGCAGTGTCTCGGGTGTGATGAAGTTGGCTCGATTCACAAAGCTTTACACAAAGATAAGGGGGGAGGGGGGGGATTTATCAAAACTGGAGCAGCTACAATGTGGAGCAACTGGGCATGGCAACCAAGCATAGTTACATAGTTAGTCAGGTTGAAAAGAAGACACAAAGCAAAGCAAGCAGTGTCTGCGGTGCCGTCTCTGGCTCTGCCTCGTACGGGATGCCATTGGCAGGAGAGAATGCCGCGTTCAAAGAAGGGTAGTTTGGGGAGACCGGTCTTCTTCACTGGAACAGGTGGGGGGTGGAGCCTGCAGAACTATTGTTTTATTCTATTCAGCCAGTAGGCAGAGGTCTAGTCTGCTTTTGCCACAGGAAGCTTTATTAGTGTATTACACTAAGCTGTGCTGAAAGATGCCTATATCACAGTAATAACTTCTCTCTTATAAGGCTTCCCAGTACAAAGTTTCAATCGGACAAAGTGAGCTGCAAAGCAAGCAGTGTCTGGGGTGATGAAGTTGGCGAGGGGGGCCATGTTCATTAAAACAGAAGACATATACTAGCGTCCTCCCGTCACCCAAAGCTCAGTATATTGGGAGCTACAGCTTGCGGTATACTGAGACTGCCGCAGCCGGGACGGATCCCGACATTACTGTCCAGATCCACCCAGCTGCGTGAGTGACAGCTGGCTCTGCCTATCTAGAGGCAGAGCCAGCTGTGCCCTCCCCCGTCCGTTCTGCCAGTCAGCGCTGGAGGATCGGCGGGAGGGGGGGGGGAAATCCCTGCAGGGAGCCGTGAGTGACAGTCACTGCAGGGAGATGATCGAGAAATGAGCGAACGCTGGTATGTGTTCGCTCACCTCCCGATCTATTGAGCCGACCTGTGACAGTCTCATTGTCAGACGTCGGCTAGAACTATGAGTGATTTTCACTCACCTCATAGTTCTCCTGTAAGAAGTAGTTTAGGGAGACGGGTTGGCTAGATACGGAGCAAGGTACGTGATCCTCTCCATTAAACCGCCCCTGTAAATTCAGGGAGCATTATATGCTGCATGCCCAGCTGTTTTGATCCCTTTGGCTTCAATACTGTCACGGAGTAGCTGCCCTGGAACAAGGATGCAGCTCAGATCAGAGTAAAGCACGTGTGATTGGGGTTTGAAGGGGATCATGAGGAGTCTGCAATGGCCGCCTCGATGCTTTCCTCTGGAGGTCTGACCTTTAGGACTTCCAAGAAAATAACCCTCATGGGCTCCTGAGGAGGCTGCCTCCAAGTGATTAAAGGGTAATTCCACTTTCCTAGATGAATTTGAGGAAATGTAATTGCCCCCACCCCCACCCCCACCTATACTTACCTTTGGCCGAACGCTCCTTCCCCTCAGGCGGCGCCGCTGTACTACCCGTACACCGTACACGGCAGCGTAGCCCTGCACTCTGTATTTTGAATTTTGCTTGCAAATGGCGAGTACTCATTGGTCAGCTGAATCCGCGGTCCAGGGGCTGCGAATAAAGATGAGAATGAAGTCCCATGAGGTATATAAGAGTCCTTTAGAGCAGGGGTGGGTGAACTCTGACCCTTCAGCTGTTGTGAAACTACAAATCCCATGAGGCATTGCAAGACAGACAGCCACAGGCCTGACTCCCAGAAGCAGTGGCGTGCTGCTAAGGTGTTCAGTAAGATTAATAGGGCACTGCCTGGGGCCCGCTTTTCAGGGAATGTAAACCCTTTTTGGTCTGTTAAATATACCAATGAAATCCCCATCCTGGCTTTTATGTGGTGGTGGAGCTGGTCATCCCCGGTGGTTATGGGGGTGGTGGGCATGGCCGGTTGTCTTCATTAAAGGGAAGACTACAATCCCATATGGCCTGCTCGATGGGTCTTACACTCCCTTTGTGTTGGGTGTACTGATCTGAGATGAACTATATAGTAATGAATACAGCATATTATACAGGGACTAGGGGGAGGAGGTTGGGCGGGGCAGGTTAGTTGTTACTGAAGGCCTACCTGTAGTTGCCCCAGAGCTGGGGGGGATGAAGTTTGCCTACCCCTGGATTAGGGAGCCACTGACCCGAACCAAGCATGGGGCTAGTACCGCAGCCTAAAATGCCCTCCTGAGCTTGCAAGCTTATTCCAGGTGACCTGTTCATTGGGCAAGGAAGCCAGGACCAAGACCACAACCCTGTACTTCAGCACCTTCAGGCATCGATGGCAGCTTCCATAGTTCAGCCTTCGAAGGGTCATGTTGACAACACTAAGAAGCCAAGAATGCTTTACAGCATGGTTTTGTGTTAGGCCGCCCCAGGGACATAACTTAACCTCCACCAAGGTGTGTTCATGTCCTGGTAGTTGCTGCTTGTTGTAGGAATCCTCTAGTGCCTTGACAATGCTCTTGGAATTACCTGATACTTTCAGGTATGGATGATCATGTGACCTTCTTCCCTTCCAGGATACAGTGATTGAGCATGAGCAGCCAATCACCAGGCCAGAACACTGTCACATGGGGACGGTCAATGAACCGGGACAGGGAGCTTATAGACTCATCACTATTATGGTTGAAGAGAGTGGGTAGTGGGGGTGCAGTGAAAGTGGGATCTGTCCCTTAGAGGAGCGGATACCCACGCGCTAATCCTTGCACATAGACTTTAACATGCGAATTCGGCATAGGGAACAAGTCATGAGCCGATTACTGAGGAATTCCGGAGGGAGGGGCGGAGTCTGCGGTGTTGCCCGTGGCGATTAGGCTTCTTGCTGCGTCTGCTGTCCTCACCGGTTACAATGCAAAGTAACAATATTATATGACTACAGCTCAGGCTGGCTCAATGGAGAATGTCTTCAGCACTAAGTAGCTGCCTGTCTCCTCTCACTTCCGTTCCGCTTCACGGCCTAATGCTTTCTGGTTGCCATAGTGACAGCCTCAGGACACAATGCAAGCAAGATTAATAGATTTGTCGTGGTGTTGAAAGGGTGGCGGCCATTTTGTTGTAGCCCATAGAAGGAGGAGGGGAGGAGTTGCTGTGCTGATGAAGATGTAAGGCTGGAGAGTGTGTGCCCAGTGAGGAGGAGGTAATACTGTCTTCTTATTATGAGACGAGTAAGAGAGAAGGGGGTCCCAGCACTCGCTGTGGACTGGAGGGTGCAGGTCAGGGGCCATTTGCAAGACATCAGCACAAAGCCAAAGACTGTACCATGGCAGTTCCCATGCTTTGTGTGCTCTGTTGCTTTAAATATTAAAGGGGAACTCCAGGTCTGCAACCTCCATTGTTGTACAATGTAAGATGTTTACATCCAGCCATGGCTCTGGTTTACTACATCACATGGGAAATACCTCTCGTCTTTGGGCTCTGTGTATAATGGTGTCTGAAGTCCTCTTTATGCTGACAACTGGTCTGCAAATAACTGTATTTTCAGGGCTAGTGTCAGACTAATATGATAAAATCATTGGGGGAAAATGTTTTTGATACATGAATAAATGTATTTGTTTTTTTTTTTAAATACAAGCAGTGCAAGTACCTGAATGCATCAGGATGGCTGTCATGAGGAGGGGGGGTCAGACTGACAGAGAGATGAGCTCATCAGTCTGCTGCTTCTCCTGACTGTCCAGTCAGAGGATGGGAGTGGGGATGGGGAGAACAAGTGTATGTAAAAGGGAAGCTGCAGCGGAGAAAGATCAGGTGAGGCTGCAATTTTGAAAATGCTCATTGACTGGCTGTCATGCTGTTCCAGTGGCATTAATACTCTCTGAATCACTAACCCCGAGCAAGTATCAGGACCGCCGACTTCCTAAGCTGCCTGACTGTTTTGTTATATCTGTTTGACCATTCCAAAAAAAATACTCGTGGACCCTTCCAGAAATCCAGTGCTGTCGTGCGCACTCTGCAGTCACAAACAATGTTATCAGGAAGTATATTAGGACTACATAACACCTCCTTATGTTAGCGAGATCAGGAGAATGGAAAGTGTTTTGTAGTCCTAATGTACTTCCTGTCTTCGGGTATATATATATATACCACACATGGTATTGTCTGACTTTTTTGATCCTAGGGTGACAACCCTGCTGCTCCATAGAAACAGTGCAGTGAGCGTTGTCACCATAGGACAGAAAGTGTCTTACTTGCAAGAAGATTTGCTGTATGGGCAGCTGTGTGATTTGGTGAGTGAAGGAGACTGGTGGTCTCAGGTGCCATTGCCTCTCTGGATTCATGGGCCCATCACCTGGGAACTGTGGCGGTGAGGGAGCTCGAAAGGAAACTTAGGGGAGTATATCTGACTTTGCAGGGGGGGGGGAAACAAAGGCCTATCAGGATGGGTTAGAGGAGAACGTGAGAGTGGGAAACAATATTTGGCTGGGCTTTAAATTTGTCCATGGAATCTTCTAATATGGCTGCCACGTTCTCGTATACTAGGTCCCGGGCCGTCTTGTTTTTGACCAGTGCTGTAGTTAGATCACCTTCGTTAATCTGGTTGTTATGGACGAATCCCTCTTACCCAACATGAACCGATCCTTCACTTTGGTATTCTCAGTACTTGTTGCCACTTGACCTTTACAGATATGATGAACTTATAAGGAAGGGACCATCTGGATTTCTACAAGGACGTCATGATGGAGAACCGGCCGGCCCTCACATCACCGGGTAAGAGGAGACTTTCATTTCTAGAGTATTGAGGACCCACCTAGATCAGGGGTCAGCAACCTGTGGCTGTGGAGCCGCATGTGGCTCTTTCATCCCTCTGCTGCGGCTCCCTGTCCAGGGGCGGAACTACCGCCGGGGGCCTAGGGCCCTTAGGCGGCCCAGTGAGGTCCGGTACTGGGCCACTCCCTAGTGGAATATGCAGCAGTGCAGGGTCGCGGGGACACGCACTGCTGACGGGCTTCTCAGCAAGGGGGCGGGTCCTGTGACTCACCTCCTCTCCAGGCTGTGTCCCTAGTAACAGGCAGCGGGTGAGGAGAAGTGTGTGTACGGCCGGTACCCATGTGAGGGGTCCGGGCAGCCTGGAGGGCCTCTTACATGAGTATCAGCTGTACCAGGGGCAGCATGGCAGCGGTGACAGGGGAGGGGGTGGAGGAGGACAGGCCACAGCAGCAGCAGGTAAGAGGAGCTGGGAGGAGGTACAGGAAAAGGGACCCGGGTGACCAGTCCACATGAGGCCCTGCAGAGCCCACCATAGAGAGTCTCAGATGGGTTGTGCAGGATCTATGGAGTGCTCTGCAGGGTCACTCTCAGGTGGGCTCTGCGGAGTCTCAGGTAAGCCCTGAGTCAGTGCGTTACAAAGCCCACATATACCTATATACATAGCATAAAGGTAAAAAACGATATATGCCGTGTTATCTTCATTTTAGATGTCAAAAGTGTTTTGTGGCTCCCGGTGTTTTCTTTTCTATGGGAAACGGGTCCAAATGGCTCTTTGAGTGTTTAAGGTTGCTGACCCCTGCCCTAGATACACACATCCTCTGATATAAAGACATAGAAACAATGTATTCAGTCAGTGTGTGTGTTTCCTACAGATGGATCCAGGAACAGAAATACTCCAGAGAGATGTCCCCGCCCTCTGTATTCCCGGGATTCCACACAGGAACATCAGAAGATCCCTCAGGAACATCAGGAGATCCCTCAGGAACATCAGGAGATCCCTCAGGCCCATCCTCTGTATTCCCAGGACTCCATATGGAAGCATCACAAGATCCTTCAGGATTACCTAGTAAGCAGGAATAAAGAGTATAGGCGAAGTCTGATCTGTCATCATTGGCAACTTAAAAGAAGTCTTGTTTTGTTATCCTTGGCAAACTCTTTAACCCCTTCATGACCAGTGACGTACAGTGTAGAACACTGGCAGTGGGCCCATTTAAACAGACTCCCGGGACTCTGTTTGTCGGCTTTACAGTAGAAGTGATTGTGGTGGCTTAGCTGCTGCCAGATCACTTCTACGGGCTGGTAAAGGGCCCCCCCCGCCCGACACACCCGCCGTGTTTCCTGGGCCCTACTGCCCCTCCTACGGGCCCAGGACCGACCTGTCTGGTGTTCCGATCCCCTCTCTGTACTATGGGATCGGTAGCATTGCAGATTACATCACTTCCAGGCCCATAGCTGTCAGTGCTGGACTCCTGAAGCCCAGCTATAAGCTATTGAAGTGCGGTCTGCACTTCAATAGCTTATTTCAAGTGTAAAGGTGATACTTTTGGACCCCCAATATCACCTTAAAGAGTACCTGTCACCACCAATATGCTATCACATGGAGGGCTTGTAAGCCCCCCTATGTGATAGCAATTCAAGTTTAAAAAAAATAACAGTTTTTAAAATCAATATTGAATGAAAAAAATGTAAAAATAATATGAAAAAGAACATGTAAAGTCCACTGCCCCCGTGAGCATGCGCTTCTTAATGTAAACACTCGTCGGGTGCGCCTACGTATGAAAATGACGATCGTGCTTGGGTATGGCCGCACACACCGGAGTGAGAGCAGTAATTCTAGGGACAATATTTATGCGTATCTCTAAACTGATGACCTGTGGGGGCTCTTAAAGCGTCATTTGTGGACTTTTTGGGGGACTAAATTGTGTCGCCATTTCACGGATGCACACAATTTTTAACCTAAGCATGTTGGGTCTCTATTTACTCGTCCTAACCTCGTCTTATATATTGTATAACAACAATGGGTACTTTATAGTGTTTTGGGGTATTTAAGTGCATTTTCACTCAATTTTGGGGTTTGATAAGGAGTGGCGCCAATATCATGCAACATAAACATTTGCAACTGCCATGATTTTATTCTATAGGGTCTTGGCTTTCAGAAAATATATACAGGGTTATTCACACAAGGGTGAAGGGTTTGGAGAAGGCGGGAGAAGTGAACAATCTAGGACAACATCGCTGAACTGGAAAGTGAGCTGAATTGGAGAATGTTTCCAAATCAGCTATTTTGGCCTAGATTGTTCACTTCTCCAAACACTTCATTCTTTTGTGAATAACCCTGATAATGTTTGGGGGGTTTTTAAGTAATTGTCAGGCCTAAAATGTGGATTATAACAATTAAACAAAAAAATGAAGAAAAAAAAAAAGGCATTGATCATGAAGGGGTTTAATCTAATTAAACTGGTTTGTCCATCCAGGGTGAAGGCCTGACAGTTGTTAAAGTTGAAGATAAAGACTTGTTCTTTGAGGGAGATGAGTCGTGTGAGGAGCAGGAGATCTTTCCAGAGATCAGCACAGGTGAGGAATAAACACTAAATCCAGAAAAGAGTCCCAGATTCTCCTTGTTCAGTCACTACAACAATCTCTTCTTCTCCCCCCTCCTCTGTCAGTAGACAGTAATGGGGGGGACGGAATGTTTCTAGTGGGGGAGTCAGGAGCCATCAGCCTCTATTAGACTCCGGCTCTCCTCCTCACATCATGTCATTGTGTTTTGACCATTCTTCCCCCACACAATGGGGTCTGGGCTCTTTCACCTCCTCCTTATGTTAGATATCTCAGGGGGCTTCACTCTCATCTGAATTCACAGACCCCGGAGACACCAGAGACACTCGGAGAGACGTCAAAGCTGAGAAGGAGGAAGATGGACATGTGAGGATCAAAGAGGAGGAAGTTCCTGTAGAGATCTGCACAGGTGAGGAATACAAATTCAATCCTGCTTTAATAAACATATATCTCACATATGGATACTGCTTCAGGTCTTTATGGTGTTTTTTAACCCCCTCCAACCCCCAATCTATTGCTAAATGTCCCCCTGCATGATGCCCTATGATGAGGGCGCATTAACCTAAATTTCACACCCAGCAGCTGATACCTTGTGTGGTCACTGACGGCTCCGGTCCCCACTAATGATTGGTAACCAATCAGAGTGATTCCCGATGGTGTGATTAGGAACGTCAGCTATTTGTAGTATTAGCCATGGAGCTCACCGCTCACATCCTCCATTAGTCTCCACCGGGATGCTGATCACAAGCCCGTCCCAGCTTCTCAAATATACTTCAAACAAACACAATTGCTGCTGCTCTTCACTGAAAGCGTTTTGTTCCACCTTGTAATGCGGTTTACAATCACATAGCTTCTACTGCTGACGCATTTCACCCGTTTAGGCTCACTCATAGTTCTCTCCTCGCTTTGCGTCTCCGCTGCTACTATCCCCCAACACTAACACGTTTCACCGGTTTGGGCTTACTTAGATCTGTATGAGTAAGCCCAAATGGGCGGAAAGCATTAGAGGTTGGTAGTAGTAGAAGCAGAGAAGGTATGCTATTGCGTACTGCATTTCGAGGTGGAACAAAACGCTTTCCGGGAAGAGCAGCGGCGTGTGATCGTGTTTGTTTGAAGTATGTGATGTCGTCTATGACGCAAGGATTTACATGCAGGCTGGAGGCTTCATTCACAAAATACGCCTTCAGACTGCAGATGCCACTAAAGCCTGTAGATGGCAGTGTGCCTCTGTTTAACATTGTAATTGTCAGATATAATTACAGTATTATAACAAAATATCCATTCAAGTTATACATTTAGAAACATAAACTGGTTGTGCTTTTAATATACTATACCTTTCAGTTTTAATAACCGAGGTTACTTGTTAAACCCTTAGCAGTGTTATTTTTCTAATGGTTCAGAATCCATTGTTATAGGATATGTTGGTTTTCCACTTATGTGGCCTCTAGTTGTGATACGTTAACATTGTCTTCCAGGTGGAACCGGTAACGGAAATACACCAGAGAGATGTCTCAGTCCTCCTCATTCCCCGGAGAGAAATCACAAGCTCATGCTGGATTACGTGGTGAATGGATTTTCTTAATAATGGTCTTCTCAGTAATAGTCTTCTTACATATTAAATTGGCAGGAGTGGAGCGAATCGGCATCTTATTTAGTGAATGTTGCGAAAGTGGAAATACACTTCGAACCTGAACGCCAGGATTTCCATTACCCACCCCACTCCCTCCACCCCCACATACTAGTCGGTCCAGTGATAGTACAATGGCTTTCGCTGCCTCCTTTGGCGAGGGCAAGGGAAAAGGGGCGGGGCATTCGTCCAGGACTGAGTAGCGCTCAAATAATGATCTGTAAGTTCTGGGGTAATGCACGCCCAGTCTGTATGATAACGTGTCCCCTGAGGGGTGTGTAAATGTCAGACCGGGCTCACAGGAAATAGGCAGATATGACTGTCATTTTGTCTGAAAAGGACCTCCCATGAGGAAGTCATAGACAGTGCCAGAGCGCGGAGAGAGTAAGAAGAACTTTCCCCCCTTTCACGACCCATGACGGGATCATTCCGCTATGGATCCTCAAGGGGTTAAACAGACTCCCGGCGGCTACTCTGTTCATACTTGTAGAGCCGGCGGCCGACTTTACAGTAGAAGCGATTCTGGCGACTCGGCCGTCGCCAGATCGCTTCTGCGATCCGGTAAAGTGGCCGCCCGACACCCCCGCTGTGTTTCCCGGGATCCGCTGCTCCTTCAACGCCCCGGGACTGGCCTCTCAAGTGTCTCACGCAGCTGGGCGGATCCTCGACAGTAATGTCGGGATCCGTCCCGGCTGCGGTGGTCTCGGTATATAGCGAGCTGTAGCTGGCGGTATATTGAGCTTTGGGTCACGGGAGGGCGCTAGTCTATGTCCTCTCGTGACCCTTAGGAGAACTATGGGGAAAAGCCCTGACCCCATAGTTCTCCTTTAAGAGGTTAACACAGGAGGCGGTGGTGTAAAACAACAACAACAAAATAATTGACTGGAGTTCCACTTTGAAACAAACCATCCCAGCCCTCTGTAGCTGCAGGCACTGTGGAGCAACTCATCCTCAAACTCCCCAGCAGAAGCACCGGAGTCGTCCTCTCGGCTGCTTTATCTGTCCCCTGACTTTGTTTTGATCCACTCGGGCCCCAACCCTCTTATATTGGATCCATACCTGCACAGTGAGCGCTCATAGACATGTGTAGCATAACGGATCCTGGGTGTTGGCTAGATACAAGTCTGAGAGTGCTCACCTCCAGCTGTTGCCATTGACAGCTAATGTACTGCACAAAAAGCTGCCGCACATCACAATTCTGGTCAAAGGCCCGTTTTATACCGGCGCATTAGTATTAAGGACCACTAATGTAAGCAAGCGCTGACGCATTTTTTGGCAATAAAGTTTTATCTATGGTGACGTCATTTAGTGCTCAGCAGATTTACTTTGACCTCCTAAGGCATAGGAGCATGGATGGGCTTGCACCAGCTAGAACAGGGGAGCTACTGTGAGAATGGAGCGGTGATCTCCTCTCTTCTATTGGCTACGATGCCGATGCGTACCTTGTCTATTCATACCATTAATATTATCATTATACAAGTAACAGAGGTGCAAGTTAAGGCGTATCTACACCCCAAAAATGACACCAGACCTTACATGTGGCGGCTGCATTGGTTTTCTTTTTTCCACTTTTTTTTTCCTGCCCGTAACAAACTTCCTGTCCTAGGGTGACACCGCTCAATGTACTGTATCAATAGAGTAGCAGTGTTGTCACCCTAGGCTGCTCCCCTGATTTGGACTGCAAACACCTCCCCCTCCCTTATTTACACTACACAGTGGGCCCTTGCTTTAAAGTTGATCACTTTGTTGGAGCTTTAAGTTCAAGTCACAGGAAGGGCACTGGATTTCCGGCAGGAGTAACAGGATATTTTCTGTACTTGCATCCTCCATTTTGACCTTAGTTTTTGGAACTTACTGTCTGTATTGCTTTGGGTGGTTCAGGATGAAGATATGATGAAAGGTGGAGAGGAAAAAGAAGAACCGGATGTGAACGGTGACGAGCCGTGTAGGGAGGAGGAAATCTCCCCAGAGATCAGCACAGGTGAGCCCCCTGCGTACTGGTCCTGATATCCTGGTTTAGGGTGGCTCCTTTCCTTGAACGGTCCTATGGAGCCACCTTTGTGTGTGCTAGTACACTGTGTGTGCCCCTCCCTTGCTTTTCCCTTTCCCGAGCTAGTAGATGGACGGCTGCTGGAGACAGCTGCTGGAGACTTGGTCCCTTGTGACCTTGTACTGGATAGGAAGTTCAGGGAAGCCGAGCTGAGAGAGTTGGAGCTGCTCAGACACATGATGACTGTAAGCTCTTGAGAGTCTACTTCTGTTGTTACAATGTCATCACCCTTCCTTGTCTTATTTCCTCCAGATGGACGGTACAGAAGATACAGTATGGATCAAAGTTCTTATACCTCTCCAGGTGAGACAGAAGATGGCGCCGCCTCTGATTCATCAGAGGAGAACCCCATCACTCCAGACCTTCATCCAGCACTGCCCTCTGATTCCACCACACACGGAGGTTACTCTCTGGTTCCGTCACCTCCTCTGTCCTACCATACAGTTCTTATTGGGGATGAAAGCTTTCCATGTTCGGAGTGCGGGAAATCATTCAACCAAAAAGCAGAGTTCATTAAGCACTGCAAAGCTCACACGGTGGAGAAGCCCTATTCCTGCTCCAAGTGTGGGAAGTGCTTCACCCAGAAATCAGGCCTGGTCCGTCATCAAAGGACCCACACGGGGGAGAAGCCGTTCTCGTGTTCCGAATGCGGGAAGTGTTTTTCCTGGAAATCCTCCCTCATCATACACGAGAAGGTTCACACGGGGGAGAAGCCTTATTCGTGCTCGGAGTGTGGGAAATGCTTCAGCGAAAGATCCAACCTGCTCAACCACGAGAGGACCCACACTTCCGAGAAGCCGTTCTACTGCACTGAGTGCGGAGAGTGTTTCACCCGCAGGGAAACCCTGATCTCGCACCAGCGTTCTCACTCGGGGGAGAAGCCGTATTCCTGCTCTGAATGTGGCAAACGCTTCTCCTGGAAGTACCAGTTCCTCAGGCACGAGAGGAGCCACCGTGGGGAGAAGCCGTATTCCTGTTCGGAATGCGGGAAATGCTTTACGGAACGGTCCAACCTTTTCCTACATCAGAAGATTCACGCCAGCGATCGGCCGTATCCGTGTCCCGAATGCGGGAGAGGTTTCACCAACAAGTCGGCTCTGGTTAGACATCAGAAGTCCCACACAGGGGAGAAGCCGTACTCCTGCTTTCAGTGCGGTCAGTGTTTTATCTACAAGTCGAGTCTGATTCGGCACGAGAGGGTCCACACCGGCGATAATCCGTATTCGTGTCCCGAGTGTGGCAAGGGCTTTAAGAACAAATCAAACCTGGTCAGGCATGAGAAGGCCCACACCGGCGACCGGCCATACTCGTGCTCGGAATGTGGAAGAGGTTTCATCAATAAATCGGATCTGGTGGTCCACGAGAGGGTCCACACGGGCGATAAGCCGTATCCGTGTTCCGAATGCGTAAGACGGTTTTCACATAAGTCTTCGCTGGTGGCGCACCTAGTTTCCCACAGGAGGCAAGAGAACCTGTCTCGGGACACAGCCGAGGAAGCGTAGTACGGATTTGGCACTTTTAGTTGGGTTCTTCTACCAGGAATCTATAGACCGGATATGGTTTGAATGGTTCTAGTATACATTTAGAATTTGTGACTGTTACCCTACTCTTCTCGATGTTTCCCCACCTGCCTGCCTAGCAGCAACATTTAAAGGCTTGGGTGTCCCGAGTGTGCATGAAACTTGAGGTCTATTACCACCTCTAAGCTTCACAGAGTATTGTACGTGTGTCATCGTTTCACATATTTCCCCATGGAGGTATCTGGCCATGCTACGTATAATGGGCCGAGCCTACAGCGGAACACATTTCAATGCTTGGCTAGCCAGTGATACGTTATCCTTTCCTCTTCTTCATACACTGAGCAGCCATAACATTATAACCACCCTCCCAATTGAGTAGGTCCCCCTTTTGCCACCAAAACTGCCCTGACCTGTGGAGGCATAGACTCCTCTAGACCTCTGAAGGTATGCTGTGGTATATGGCACCATCAGTAGCTGATGCTTCAAGTCCTGTGGCCCCTATGGATCAGACTTGTTTTTCCCGCACATCCCACAGATGCTCGATTGGATTGAGATCTGGAGAGTTTGGAGGCCAAGTCAACACCTCAAACTGGTTGTTGTGTTCCTCAAACCGTTCTTCAACCATTTTTGCAGTGTGGCAGGGCGCATTGTCCTGCTGAAAGAGGCCACTGACATCAGGGAATACCGTTTCCATGAAGGAGTGGACTTGGTTAGTGACATTGTTTAGGTCGGTGGTACGTGTCAGAGTAACATCCACATGAATGGCCGGAGCCAAGGTTGCCCAGCAGAACATTGGCCAAACCATCACACTTCTTCCGGTGCTTCCTGTTGCCATCTCTTCCCCTGGTAAGGGGGACACACGCACCTGGCCATCCAAAACTTGATTCATCAGACCAGGCCACCTTCTTCCATTGCTCCACAGTCCAGTTCTGATGATCACATGCCCATTGTAGGCATTTTGTGTGGTGGACACAGGTCAGCATGGACACCCTGGCTATGCAGCCCCAACTGTGATGCACTTCAGACAACAAACTGCAATGTTCAGACACCTTTCTATTGGAACCAGCATGGACCTTTTCATTAATTTGAGCTACAGTATCTCTTCTATTAGATTGGACCACATGAGTCAGCCTTCGCACCTCGCATGCATCAATGAGCCTTGGCCGCCCATGACCCCGTCACCGGTTCACCGATTTGCCTTCCTTGGACCACTTTTGGTAGGCCTTGACCACCGCAGGTACCATTGTAATATATCCCCCGCCCCACTTCCAGGTACCATTGTACTATATCCCCTGCCCCACTTCCAGGTACCATTGCAATATTTCCCCCGCCCCACTTCCAGGTGTCATTGTACTATATCCCCTGCCCCACTTCCAGGTACCATTGCAATATTTCCCCCGCCCCACTTCCAGGTGTCATTGTACTATATCCCCTGCCCCACTTCCAGGTACCATTGCAATATTTCCCCCGCCCCACTTCCAGGTGTCATTGTACTATATCCCCTGCCCCACTTCCAGGTACCATTGCAATATTTCCCCCGCCCCACTTCCAGGTGTCATTGTACTATATCCCCTGCCCCACTTCCAGGTACCATTGCAATATTTCCCCCGCCCCACTTCCAGGTGTCATTGTACTATATCCCCTGCCCCACTTCCAGGTACCATTGCAATATTTCCCCCGCCCCACTTCCAGGTGTCATTGTACTATATCCCCTGCCCCACTTCCAGGTACCATTGCAATATTTCCCCCGCCCCACTTCCAGGTGTCATTGTACTATATCCCCTGCCCCACTTCCAGGTACCATTGCAATATTTCCCCCGCCCCACTTCCAGGTGTCATTGTACTATATCCCCTGCCCCACTTCCAGGTACCATTGCAATATTTCCCCCGCCCCACTTCCAGGTGTCATTGTACTATATCCCCTGCCCCACTTCCAGGTACCATTGCAATATTTCCCCCGCCCCACTTCCAGGTGTCATTGTACTATATCCCCTGCCCCACTTCCAGGTACCATTGCAATATTTCCCCCGCCCCACTTCCAGGTGTCATTGTACTATATCCCCTGCCCCACTTCCAGGTACCATTGCAATATTTCCCCCGCCCCACTTCCAGGTGTCATTGTACTATATCCCCTGCCCCACTTCCAGGTACCATTGCAATATTTCCCCCGCCCCACTTCCAGGTGTCATTGTACTATATCCCCTGCCCCACTTCCAGGTACCATTGCAATATTTCCCCCGCCCCACTTCCAGGTGTCATTGTACTATATCCCCTGCCCCACTTCCAGGTACCATTGCAATATTTCCCCCGCCCCACTTCCAGGTGTCATTGTACTATATCCCCTGCCCCACTTCCAGGTACCATTGCAATATTTCCCCCGCCCCACTTCCAGGTGTCATTGTAATATATCCCCCCCACTTCCAGGTGCCATTGGAATATATCCCCCACTTCCAGGTACCATTGTAACTAGATAATCAATGTTATTCACTTCACCCTAAGTGGTCATAATGTTATGGCTGATCTCTGTATAAGAACGAGGCCTCACTTATAAGCATATTTCCTATGAGGACGAACAATCTCCATGTGTGATGATGACTGGCTCATAGAGAGGTCCCAGGCGACCCAATGACTGAATGGTGCCCGTTCTGGGAGCCAGGCTGTCAATGGCCACCAATATTAGCACTTACCAGAAACAGAGGTGTCCCTGCATGGAAAATGTTTCATCTATTTATACCATGAAAATGAGTTACACTGAGGTCACATGACCTAAAGCTCATCTCTGGGGAAATGAAAACCCCCCGATGCCACCCTTTTGTAGTCACTTGACCCCGCTATCACGCAACCTTCCACAGCACCTCTTCCTGGAGTGAGGACTGGTAATCCACCACTCCTTGCCGCAGACCTGTTGCCGCCCCTCGTTGTGATGTCATAATGCCGCTGCTGGGGTTTTTTAGGACCCTCCCCACCCATGGACCTAATTGGGTGTGCCTATGTTGCTGCCTAGTGGCATGGGCACCTTCCATTGGCAGAGAGTAGAGATCTGTGGTCCAGTGTCTCATTTTAGGCCTGCCACTGACCATTCTTGTTTCTGATGTCATCATTCTGCTGCAGTCTTCTGGAGCATAAGAGGACCCCCGCTACTGGAGGGCCAATGGGAAGTGTCCACTCTATCCAGGCAGCTAAATGGGCATTGAAAGAATGACCCTCCCATTCTTCAGTCAATAAAAGAAGACTTGGGACTGGGCTTATCATGTGACTGCAGATTTAGGTAAACACATGAGGCATTCAGCTTAGTTTATTTAAAGCTGGGGTGGGCAACTCCGGTCCTCCAGTTGGTGCTTTAACTACAAATCCCATCACGGGATAGGGGATTACTAGAAGGGAAAGGAAGATGCTCATTTTGGGTTAAGCTTGGCCAAAGATGAGCTTTAAAGGAGAACTATGGGGTTAAGTCTTTTCCCCATAGTTCTCCTATAACGTATATAGGATATATAATGTAACGGGAGGACACAAACTAGCGTCCTCCCGTCACCCTAGGCTCATTATATATACTGAGACGCCGCAGCTGAAGCGGATCCCGACAATTGTGCCTGGATCCGCCCAGCTGTGTGAGTGACAGCTGGCTCTGCCTATCTAGAGGCAGAGCCAGCTGTACCCGCCCCCTCCCCCGTCCGTTCCCCCAGTCAGCGCTGGCGGAGAGGGGAATCCAGCCCCTCCCCTGTCACGGCAGAGAGCCGTGACAGGATCGAGAGGTGAGCGAACGCCGGTATGTGTTCGCTCACCTCCCGATCTACTGAGCCGACCTGTGACAGTCTCATTGTCACAGGTCGGCTAGAACTATGAGGTGAGTGAAAAGCACTCACCTCATAGTTCTCCTTTAAGGTTAATTTTGTCTTCATTCCAGTTTACATCTTTTTTTTATTGCTAGTTGTGTTGTTTTGTATACAAAATGTAGACTATATAATATGTTTTACAGGGAAAATGTGTTATTGTAATAATGATCAATCAAGACTTGCAAGAATGTTTGCTACACATGAGCCGTGGCAAAGGGATCTCCAAAAATAAGATTCTGACTTTGTCAATAAGCAGTTGATGTTAAAGGGGTTGGTACACTCACACGTGATCGTCCTTGAGGACAGTTAGTGAGAGTGTAGCTCCACTGTCAGTATACAGGAGGCAGGACCGGATTTACCCTCCCTGCCGCCCCAAGGCTGGGTTCGGCAGTGCCCCCTCCCCCCGCCAAGGAGAATGCCAACCAGAAAGCAGGGGTGGCAGGGTTGGTTTGAAATTTTTTATGGTTTTTTTTTTTCTACTTTTTTTATCACTTTTTACATTTTTTATTTATAATTATTTTCTTATTTTTTTATATTTTTCTTACTATTTTTTACTTTATTTTTTAATGTAATTATTATTACTTATTATTCTTTACTTTTATTTATGTAATTTATTTTTTTATCCATTTTTTTTCCACCTAACTTTATTGCTATCACACAGGAGCTAACAAGTCACTGTGTGATAGCATTTGGAGGTGACAGGTTCTCTTTACTGAACCTGTCACCTCCAATACAGGAGTTCTAGCACAGCGCTGTGCTGGAACTCCTGTGACAGGTGAAAGGGGAAAAGCTGCTCTCCCCTCTCACTGTATACACGGAGCGGCAGGGGTAGGCAGGGTTACTTTTAGCCCTGCTCACAGCTCTCCATACAGAAGACGGCGGCGAGGACGGAGCCGGGAGGACGCAGCATGGAGAGAGGTAGGTGCAGTGGAGGGAGGGGGATGGCGGGGGGACAGCCCGGCAGTCTAATTACAAGTGTTCTCGGCGACATCGCCGAGAACACTTGTAAAGAAACAGTTGATTTCTCCTATTCTACATTTAGTCCTGCTTGTG